TTAAAATAATACGATATTCTTTGTTCCAAGGTGACTTCAACTCTGACATAGGCTTTGAAAATGTCAAACAATATGTAAGGGTTTTCAACTATATTCCCCCTCAAGAAACCTCACAAAACAGCCCTCCTTTTGATAAGAGTATCCTTCATCTCCAAAGGATATAAAAAATTTTCTCATATAGACCAGTACAGAAAGAGGCCCAGCAGATTGTACACTCTCACCAGCACAGGTGGGCACAACAGACATTCATAAGAGGCTGGACACATTTGCTATGAGATTTGGCATTCTGCTTTGGCATTCCTTCAATACTGTGAAATGGCTACCACCCAAACCAAGGAGTTTATTTAAATCTAGTTTGTTGGATCAATCTAGAACATTTGGAGAGCCTGCCATTAATTACCTAGGATTGATTTCTGACCTGCATGCTTCACAGGACACCTGGGAATGATAACTCCTAATGTCTTGTCAGTGAAGATGTATGAAATCCAAGGTAAGTCTGAAATTACACCAATGATGAGTGAAAGCCCAGCTCTGGGAAAAACGTTTGTTTCTAAGCCTCAATCCTCTTTCCTTCCCTCAATGTAGAGCCATCATTAAGTATTCAGGCATACTAGCAAAAAGAAAAGAAAACAAATCTCAGCCAGGGAGGGAACCAAGTCCATCTGTGGTTTTGCCACTTATCTTGTCTACCTCCTCACAAATCTGAAAAGCAACTCTGATCTGGCAAGCTTCAGATTTGCATACAATATTAAAAACCCTCTTCTAGATGTCTAAACAGAATTATGAAGATCCCAGAGGAGGGAGTACAGATTTCAGAAGCTTGCAACAAACTCAAAGAACTTCAAAATGGCACCTCAGGAGAGAGGTAAATGCAATGTGGCTTGGTGGTGAACACAGACTCCTCAGAAGCCCCCAAACTAAGGGTTAAGTCAACCTCTGGGACTTCCCTTCATCACTCAGCAGCCAGAGCTCCCAAACAGGACCACCTATGCCCTGAATTATTAAGTTTCACATACTACTAATTAAATTACTGGGAAGTTTGTAGCAAAGTCATCCTCACTCCTCTCTGATAGGATTACAAGGGAGAACCAAAATTCAAAGGTCTCAGTCATGTGCATGCTATTAATTCCAGCAGTCTGAGAGGCTAAGGCAGTAGGAATGCAAGTTCAAGTTTCACCTAAGCAATTTAGCCAGGCCCTGTCTCAAAATTAAAAAAAAAAAGAAAAAGGCTGGGGATGTAACTCAGTACAAAGGCCCTGAGTTTGAATCCTCAGTATCACCAAAAACAAACAACAACAAAAAACTTCCCCTCAACTTCTCAAAAAAATAATCTGCCAAATGAATACAGGATGAAGTAACTCATGCAAGAAATATCTGAGAGTTTGGACTATCTATAACCCGCACTTGAGTCTGCAGTAGGTGTTGTTTAAAAAATAAAAAGGCACCTGTTAAGTTTAACAGTTTAGGTAGACGTTTATGCCTAGGTCTCAGTGAACAGCTGTGCTACTACTGCACTCTTTAGCTAGTCATGTCCCAATTACCATATTCTGCTCCAGACTCTCCAAGAGAACATGTAGAAAGCAGATTCCATGAAGGAATCTGGGGCTATTTAACATTAGAAAAGTTACATGGGGTGAACGGGGTCTCGTTCTGTCTTTGTGCATTGGACAGGCTCTCCTGTGGCACTGGGCAGCTCTAGAGGAACAGGATCAACTGGCCAAAGCTGCCAATAGGCAGACTTCCACCCAAATAATAGCACTACACTCAGTCCAGAGGACTAGACAGAATATCTTTACAAGCGGAGTTCCTTTTTACTGGAGTACTTGAACAGAGAAGCTCCCTAGCAAGGTAAGAATTTACTAAACAAGCTAGATTAAGCCTCTCTAAAATTCCAGTTGATTCCATGACTCCTCACTTAGCCACAGTGGCATTCACATTCATGTTTAGGGCAGTTTCTCAACCTCCACACTGTTGACATTTTGGACAGTATTATTTAGCGGGGGAGGCTGACCTGTACAATGAAGGAATTTAAGTAACATCCCTGGCTTCTACCCACTAGAAGTCAGCAACACCTGTCCCTTAGCAATTATAACCAAAAACTCTCCAGATAATGTGCCAAATGCAAGATCACCAGGTAGAGAGCCAGTGGTCTTGAGGAAAATGATTAACATGACTAACTTGTAGTTAAGTTTTCCTCTAACTAGGTTAGTCAAACTTTCTGCTCCAGTCAGGTGAGCGTATTCATTGCTTTTAATCTGAGGCAACCACATGCCTAAGCACTGTCAAAAGTCAATTCAGATTTGTGCCCCTCCCCGCACATTTTCATCTGACTCCAAACACCCTGAACTCTGGAACAACTATAATTGCTGGTCTCCTACTGTGTACTGTCTTATCTTTTCTCTGTGATTACAAGGATCCTCTCCTTCCTTGTTGAAGTCCCACAGTAAACATCCCAGTTTCGTGCTCATTGCGGGTACTCAATAAATATTAACTGGTGTTTTTTAGAATGTCAAACCAGCTCCAATTATACAGAAGTGAAATCTCTTACAAACTACATTTCAAAAAAACGTGTGGCCAGATGTGGTGGCACAGGCCTGTAGTCCCAGCACTTGGAAGGCTGAGGCAGGAGGATCGCTTAGAGTTCAAGGCCAGCCTGAGCTACACAGTGAGTCAAGACCAGCCTGAACTACTTGGCGAGACCTGGGGGGGGGGGGGGCGGCGGCAGCAGATGTGTGATCATGTTTTGACAAAATTTACCTATTATACTTGAGAATAAATTCAAATCTGATTTCCAAAACAGGGCTACCAAGACAATTTAACTATTTGGATATGACAAAGGCACCAGAATTTTCTAAAATAAATTTTAAAAGCTCTGCACAACATAAAACTGAAGGAGGAAAAAGGCCAAGTTTTCCTCAACTTTTCTAAATGCTAAAAAATAGCACGGAGAAAAAGATATGAACATGGCTCAATACTTCGTTGCATCATACAGTACTCCGTATGGCAGTGAAGGAGATAGGGCAGGGGGTCTGGGTCATCTGGGGACACTTTCCTCTCCAACCCAATCAGCTCAATTTTAATCAACAATCTACACATACCCTCAATAAAAATGAGACAAATCTAAGATAAAATTTCCAACGTTTAACTAAACCATGCCAATTCAAGATGCTGGGATTCTGCCCAGCTTGCTGGGTTGCCTAATCATTTTACAGAGGGCTCCCTAAGTAACATACAGAAGTCAAACATTCCAAATCAACTTTCCCACATCCTTATTTTTATCACCGAAGTTTAATGTTCTCTCCCTACCTCACACTGGGATTTTAACAAGGTTTTGGTCAATTGGTGTCAAGACATAAGCAAGACGTCTAACCCTGTCCTAGCTGAGGAGGTGTTTGGTGGTATTTATGAGCTGTAAAAAATAAAAGCCAACTGACGATCCCATTTACCGTTATGGTGTAGAATTCTTCCCACAGTCTGCAAGATCTGAGGCCCAAGAAGGTTTTGGGGAGAAAGGTATCAATCACTGTCATTCTTGTTCCCTGGTTGTAGACAAGTAAAACAGTCCTCACCATTACTGTAGATGGGAATTCCCTGCCTGTCCAAATTCTCCCAAGGTCCGACCCAGATCATGTAATAAATGCTCAATAAATGGTGTCTGGGGGCCGGGGATTTGGCTCAGTGGTTACGCCACCTTACTCGAAAGCGCAAAGATCCGAGTTCGATCCCCGGTACCCGGTACCAAAAAGAAAAGAAAAAAAAAACAAACGGTGCCTAACGGAATTTTATTTCTAAACCTGCCAAGAAAAGTTTCCAGAAGTCAGCTCTTTACTTCTATGTCTTTGTCAAAATATGTCCTCAGAGCTTTCTTGCCTAATAAAAAATATTTTCCAAAGTAGAGGAGGAAAATCTAAGAAACAACAGGAGCCAAGTACAGTAAGAGCCTGAGAGACTCAAGCTGGGACCATCTCCCAACCCCATAAGTTAGAATTCCGCAGTACCTATTCCCCACCTCTGCCTACCTCCCCAGTCCTCTTCCCTTGTCTTCGCACTTGCTTTCTCCTTCCCGCAATCCTACCTTTCGGCTTTCGGCCGGACACCCCAACTCCTGGGCCGTCACTCCCCACCTCTTCTATCCAGCAGGGACCTACCTCACCTCCCCTTGACCTGCAGCAATTCTTCTTCACTGCAAATGGCTTTTAAATAAAAAATTTAAAATCTCGTTTCTTTAACGGCTACGAATACCCCAATAAAGGGGGACAGAAAAGAGAAAGCTCCCCCCCTTAACCCTCCAGTAAGAAGTGGTGATGGTTTTCTGGACAAGCACCCTAATTTTCCTATTTTTCAAGACCCCGGACGAGATTCAGGCGAAAGTCTCGATCCCAAACGCTTCCAAACAAGCTGGAAGCGGATTATACCGGTACCCAAACCGGAGATGGGCAGCGGCGCGCCGGGTGCACCTGCGGCCCCAGCTCCCTCCCCCGCGCGGGGAGCTGGCCGCAGCGCTCAGCTCCCCGCCCCAGTTCACGGGGCTCCTGGCGCCGGACGCAGGCGCAAGGGACGCGTCGCTGGCTAAGTGCAAGGGCTCACCTCGCGGGCACGGCGCCGTCAAGGCTAGACAGAGAGCGTCCGCCCCCGCGAGGGATCTGCGGCGCGGTAACCGGCTCTTCCAGCCACTCCGATGGGGCGGAAGGCTGCAGAGCCAGGAGCGCGCGCGCGGCAGGAGCCGGAGCAGGCGGAGTGCACGCCTGCCCCCCCCCCCCCCCCCGCCCCCCCCCCCCGCAGGCCCGCCGCCGCTCAGACGGCAGAAAGTGGAACGGTCTCCAGGCCGGCTCGCCGCCCTCTGCCCCCAATCTCCCTCCCTCCCGTCCCGGAACGAGTTCCCAGCCGCAGCCTCCGCTCCGGCTGCGGGGCCGCGGGCACCCAGGATGGCGCGCCCGGCTACACCGCACTTCGCCCTCCCTCGGAGCCCCCGGCCCCGGCCCAGAGAGGTACGCACCGACCTTTGGGGCAGCTCGGCCGCCGAGCCACGGCTTAGGCGGAGGCGGGAGGCGGAGGCATCACCTGCGGCAGGCGGCGGCTGCTCCGGGACGCGCCGGGGCGGCGGGGGTGCGCGGCGCCCTGGACCCTGCTCCCGCGGCCCCGCCCGCGGCGGCCACCTCGAAGCGCGGCGGAGGAGCCGGGGCACCACGGGCGGCGGCAGCGACGGCGACTGGAGCAGCAGCACATGACTCTGTAACGAGGGGAATTAGACAAAGCGTAACATGGACTCCGGGCCCGAGCAGGCGCTGCAGCTCCGGGACCAACCGCAGCCTGCGAGCGCTGCGACTGGCCCGGCCGCAGCCAATGGGGCGGGCCCGGGCCTCCATGTGATTACGAGCACTTTCCCCGCCCGCCCCGCCGCTCCCGCCTGGGGTCGGGCAGTTTCCGCCAGGGCCCGGGCGGGATGAACGGAGGGGGCCGTGCGGCGAGGGAGGGGTCCTGGGCTCGGGGACTGGCCGTGGAGACTGCGAGATGCTGAGCAGGTGCACGGCGTGGTGGAGAATGGCAACTGAACGTCGCCGCCGGCAAGACATTTATCAAACGCGCACCTAGGCAGGGGTGGGTGCCAGGCAAGCTGCTGCCAGTCAGGAGCAAGGCTAGATGAGGACGCTTTGCCCCTTCGCAAAGGACGCTGTTCTGTGGACGAAAACCCTGATATTAAGATTGCTAGAGGAGGTTACATAAAAAGTCATTTAAGTGCCTTACAACTCTAAGAAAAGTGTTTACATAGGATTTGAGGCACATCTGTGCATAGTTTCTCAGCTTCGTTTGATCTGCTTTGTTATTAAATCTGTATTGCAAAATCAGATTTTGTTTCATCTGAGTCTGCATTTTCCCTACTGTTGTGGTTTGGGTCTAGATGTCCCCTCAACGCCTTATGTGATCATAGGTGGCTGAATCTAATAAGAGTGTGTGATGCTAGGATTAAGAGCCTGTGATTACTAAACCACTACACGAGTGATTGGTTTGGCTCCACCCTAATTCCGTTAGCCGGAATGAGAGAAAAAGCAGAAAGACGCTGTTAAGGCCCCTTGTTAAGGCTATTGCTACCGTGAGGGTACTATGAACTATTTGTCCTCTGCCAAGCCACCCACCCACCCTGCCTTCAAGCCAGCTGATTATGGACTGAAGGCTCTACACATTGTGAGCTAACTCTTACCCCCTTTAACTTTGGGTGTCTAGTATATTGTGTCAGCAAGGAGAGAAAAGTAATTCACCTACCCACCCCCATTCCTTTTCTCCAAAAAGTGTCTTGCATATGAAGTAGGCAGGTAAAAATGTTCTGTGCTGAGAGGTGTTTTCCCCCTTGATAGTCTTCCCATTTATTTTTGATTTAAAGTGGACCTTCCATTGCTGTCTTTTTTTGTGGGTAAAGAGAGGCCGGGCCAAGAAATCATGTCAGGCAGGATGTTGGAATTGTTTGATTCAAACAGAATAAATGATTTGGCCCAGTACTTCATTCTCCCCTTTTATCTGAATCTGTGTTCCTGGGGAGAGTGGAAAGTTGAGACTTTCCGCTACCAAGGTCTCTGTGTCAGCCAGTGGACAATCAATGTCTCAGCATCTCAGTGTTCTTCATGAGCAAGCTACCTGCACAAATGTTACAGGTGGTAAAATGTTATAGGTACTCGGGAAGGTATGGGTCAGAGGGAGGCATTGAAGAGAATAGTTTTCTTCACAGAGGAGGTGACAGAATTGCTCCATTGGAAAACTGAGACCCTGATATTTAGGCACTGGAAATAAAGAACAACATCCTGGACAGAGGAGCATGAACAGAGAGGTCTGGAATACACCAAGCCAGTCACAAGATGACACCAGATTTGTGTAGCCCTCGCCTTCCTCTTGCTTTCTCTCTTTCCTTGACCCTCAAGCTAGCAGCAGCATCTCCTGTTCTCTGCACCCTGCCAAGGAGGAAGTGCGTGGGCAGAGGGTGTGTGGCAAGTGATCTAATTACAGTCTCAGTTTTGCTGATCTGGGAGGTTAGAGATGTTTTAGAACTATTAACTAGTGATGAGATATTTTGATTGAAAATATCACACTATTAGTTTAACATATTTTGTGGTTTGTAAAAACAATCTCCTGTATTTTCCTCCACTTTTCTATCTCCCCTTCTTCCCTCTTTGGTTCTGGGGATTGAACCCATGGCCTTCACACAGAGCTACATCCCTAGCCCATTTTATTTTTATTTTGAGATAGGATCTCACTAAGTCACAAAATTGCCCAGATTGGCCTGGAACTTGTGATCCTCCTGCCTCAGTCTTCCAGACTGCTAGCATGGGGTGTACCACTACACAAGGCTCTCCCTGAATTTTAAACTGTGATTCTAGATTTGAAAAAAACAATGATTTCAAGATTGGTATAAATCGAGAAAAAAAGTGATATTCAAAAAACAATAAAATGTAGCTGCCATGGTAGTATGCTCCTGTAATCCTAGCTGCTTGGGAGGCAGAGGCAAGAAGCTAACTTGAGTCCAAGAGTTGAAGGTCAACCTAAGTGAGACCCTATCTCAAGAGAAGAAAACCAAAAGAAAATAGTCAACTGTGGAGAATCATGTATTCTAACACACTGTAAGAGTAAACTAGAGAAATTCTTTTGGAGGTCAGTTTGAAAGTTTCTTTATAAAGTATGTGTGTTCTTTTTGAATGAGAAATTCCACAGCTAGGAATTTATACCTTGAGCATATTTGTGCAAAAGTTATGTCAAAAATACATGTGTATGAAAACATATCAAGTGTGTTTACTGCAGCTTTGTCATAGTGGAAACGTAATGTTAAAAGTCTAATAATAAAATTACAGTAAAGAAATGATTAAGCAAATTATGCTAGATCTTATGTAGATGCATCTTAACCAACCACTAACAAAAATAAGGGCTGGGGATTTAGCTCAGTGGTTCCGCTGCCTGCCTCCAAAGCTCAAGGACCTGAGTTCAATCCCCAGTACCAAAAAGAAAAATAAGGTCTGGGCCAAGGATTTAGCTCAGTGGTGCCACTGCCTGCCTCACAAGTGCAAGGTCCTGAGTTTGATCCCTGGTACCAAAAGTAAAAAAATAAGATAGTTCCATTTGTATCTGCATGGAAAGATGTCCAAAATCTGCACGTAAAAAGAATAAACAGCAAAACAATATGGTAGTGTAATTCCATTATTATGTATTATACCTGTATGCGTGAAAGAAATCTAAAAGCTTATGTAACAAGTTGTTAATAGTGATTATCTCTGGATAAGGAATTATGAGGGCCTTTCACTATGTTACCAAGTTCTATACATTTGAATTGTTTCTGTATTGAGCACATTGTTATTATCATCATCATTAATATTATTTGTCTTGCCTGAGGACTGAAACCAGAGCCTTGAGCATGCTAGACAAGCACTCGACCAGTGAGCTACACCCACAGCCCCAAGCACATACTTTTTTTTTTTTTTTTTTTGGTACCGGGGATCGAACTCAGGACCTTGTGCTTGCAAGGCAGGCATGGTGCCACTGAGCTAAATCCCCAGCCTGCACATAGTTTTTGATGATCAGAAAAATAAAAGTTATTTTTAAAAATGTCTTAATACATTCAGGTTGCTATAAGAAAGTACTGTAAAACTACTTGGCTTATAAACAACAGAAGTTTATTTCTTACAGTTCTGAAGCCTGAGAAGTTCAAGGTCTGGTGAGGATGCCTTTTCCCTCTGTCTTCACATGGTAGAAACAATGAGGAGTTGTTCTCAGGCCTCTTTTATAAGGACCTTAACCCATTCATTAGGGTTTTGTCTTCATGATCTAATGGATTTCAACATACAAATTTTGGGGAAACACAAACCTTCATGTTATAGCAGAGATACAATTATTAAGAACTCTACCACTGGGCTTGGGATGTAGCTCTCTGGTAGAGTGCTTGCCTGGCATAATGAGGCCTTGGGTTTGATCCTCAGTATTGCCAACAAACAAATGAAAATCTACCATTGACAAGCAATGAAAAATAACTGATAGTTTAGGATGTAAATACAAGTTTTTAAAAAGCAAAAAAAAAGCTGTCAACTTTCCATTTTTCCCAAGGTAAACAACTAAGAAGGGAATAACAACAATGACTGATCTAGGGTTGGGGTGAAAATTAAGAAATGTGATCAAAAACAGGTCTGTGAGTAGTCATGTCTATAGGAGAAAGCCGGGGGAAACCTCACAAGGAAGTTTTATTCAGCAAAAATTTGCAGAGTACTTACTGTCTGTCTTCTGGTGATACGTTATAGGCAGGAAGTGGCAACTGTCCCAGCATATGGTCAGTCTGTATCAGAATGACAACAGCAGCTAAAACCTACACAAGTGCTTACTCCATTGACATACAGGCACTGTTCTAAATACCTTCACGTTCAGTCCTCACAGCACTGCTTTGAGATAGATAGTATCCTCATTTTATAGAAGAGGAACAAGGGAGTACAGATATCATGTAACTAGCTCAAGATCACACATTTATGTAGCAGAGCTAGACTTTTATTTATTTTTATTTTGGGTTTGAGACAGGGTATTGCTATGTAGTTTAGGCTTGCCATAAACTCACTGTGTCAGCCTTTCCAGTGCTGGGATTACAGTTGTTGCCATCACACACATCCAGCACTGGCAGAGCTAGAATTTTAAATCAAGCATCCTTGCTCTAGAAATCCAAGGACTTAATCACAGAACCATCTAAAAGAACACATAGGAAAAAGGCCATTATTTGCACATCTTTTTGCCAAGTCTTATAATTCTACATTAATTTGTGCTTACTTAAACTATGGCATTTAGCATGCTAGAAGACTCTTAATAATATTTATTGAATGAATGAATGGATTTTCCTACTAGAGCAGAATCTGAGCTCTTTGAAGGAGTGATTTTGCATTCTTGTTTTTTCCATCACCTAGTAATCTGTAAATATATATTTGAAAAGATGTACAGAAATGAAACTTTACAGATTAGCATCAAATGCACTGGAGTATGTGATGAATAATAACATGCTGAATTTTTCCTTAAGTGAAGGAGCTAAATCTGGATACATCTGCATAATCATACACAAATAAATGTAGAATATAAT